AAAACCTTTAAGAAGAATTATGGATAAGTGGTATATAAAAGTTAAAGTAACAATATAAAAGCCCTGTACAGATGGTTATGGGGTATCTGTAAATGGGAAGGATCGGCAAAGGTCGGGCGCTATCGTCTGTTTCCGTATAGTCTCCAACCGTTATTTCTCTTTTAGTTAGCAATAAATATTCTTCATTCATTATATTTAACCATTTTTTTATATCGGTTTACAATGTGAAGTGGTTAATTATTTCAATTAATTGAAAATAAAGGTATCTTAGAGGAATAAATTTAGAAAATTAAGCATTTAAACACTGTTAGAGAACAATAATGAGAGTAAAATATGGCAACCTTCGGACTTGACAATTTCTTTGAATAGTTCTCTAAAAAACGTTTAATTTAAAAAAATAAATAAAATGTAAGGTTATCCCTACTAGTTCGTGGTACAGACCCCTTTTTATCAAATTATTAATATATATCTAAAACTTCGGGAAGGAATTCTTCTTATCGTAACCTACAATTTTTTCATTTACGTAAATTCTCAGGAATGGTGAGTTTTCTAATTAATTTAATGAATTAATCAATACTGAGAATTAGTTAATTAATTTAATGTAGTTCTAAGACTTATAAATATCCCATTTGTTTTCCACTTGAACCGTAAGATAATTTGATAACAAAATAAAAATAAAAAGTTTCCTTAAAACATATATTGGGCCGTTTGGTCCGTGTAACATCGTTATTTGGACAGATTTGGGGTGGAGTTCATGCCAAACGTCTAGGTATTTTTTGTAGGCTACCTTTTTTTCTCGGTCCAAGTGTGAAGCAAATGGGTACCCATGACTTTTTAGTATCTAATTAAACTACGTATTTTATTTTTGGTTTAATAATGAACAATTGTGATCGAAAAAAAAAAATCAAAAACTTAATCTCCTCTCAAAATTTGAGGTTTTCCGTTTCAGGATAAGTAGAATTCGAAAAACAAACAATAACAATATTTTTGTCCGTCCGCCGTCCTCGCATTTTCTCCGAAACTACTGGACCGATTTTTTAAATTGTCTCATGTTTCATTTCTTCTGTTTTTATAAGTTTTCTTATTCTTTCTTTTGTTATAATTTCTACTGTTTTGTAATTGTATATGTGGTATGAATGAGTCTCTCACATCTCAAATCCTCAATGCCCTTCATTGAGACATAATGAATTTTTTTTATAAAATAAGATTTAAAAAAAAATTAAATAAACAAAGTTTTTTCGTAAATAAAAAAGTTGTTGGATACGATGAGAAGAAGATATTCACGATATTCTTAAACACGGACTATACCACATTTTCAGGGAATTTAAGAAATCCATTATAAAAGTCGTTATAAATTTCCCATTGAAAACTTTTAAAATATCACAGGTTCATCATTTACTCATTGAAATATGTAAAAATCTCTAAAAATTTATTCTTTTACGAAAAATCGCCAAATATCCTACTTGACTTTTATACAAAAATATATACAATTTATTCACTATCGCACTTGTACGTAACGGGACTTAAGGATGGGATTTAAACATCTCCTGTTTGGCAGCATGGAATGGAATAAATTGATTTATTCACTTCTAATTCAAACATGTATGTAAATCGAATGTAAATACGTCCGTCCGTATATCCCGCTGAGTGATGCATATATTATCTTCACAGCTCCTCATTGAATACCTACCTGGCAACTTTTACGACTTGTTACGATTGGCGAAACTTTGACTATAAAATAATTTACTGCTATTTCGGGGACTTTAACATTTGTTTGCGGAATCGACCAATTGTATCCTAATAAATACCTGTACCACTAAAACCCGTGTAGGGTCTTGGTTTCAGTATTATGTACTGTAAGTAGGGTGTACCGTAAGTAGATGTAGATATTATTGGAGTAATAGCGGAACACGAGAGTTACAAAAAAAGTTCATGTGAACAATGGGCCAAATTCCAACATAAAAGTAGGAAATGAGAGGATTTGATCGGGGGGTGCGGTCAAATAAATACTAAATTTTTAAAAAATAGTATTTTTAATCGCCGACGTTTCGACCCCTCCTTTTAACCTTCATCAGGGCTACAAAAGATAAAAAATATAAAATTCACATGGTAAAAATAAAATAAATGAATTATAAGCAGATATTAAATAATAAAGAGTTGTCTGATAAAGAAATAATAAGATGGCATCAGAGATATAGTGGGTGGCAGAGAAGTTAAAATTTCAATTATTAAATATATAGAAGATACAAACAAAAATAGGAAATAAGTATGAATAAAAATATAAAACAAAGGAGAATATAGCATGCAAGTTAAAAGTAAACAGATTGTGATAAAAGATAAGAAATGAGTGTATAACAAACTGGTAAAGATTACATTTGATAACTGTAGGTTAACAGATAAAGAAAATGAGTGTTGACAAATAAAGAGTAATTAATGCTCTAGTAAAGGTAAAATAAGAATAAGATGACATAATAATGAGATATCAGTGGATAAGAAGCTAGTGGAGGTTACACTTGATAAATGTAAGTAAACAGATAACGAGACTAAAGGTTAACAAATAAAGAAATTGAAAATATTAATAAGATAACATGAGTTGTAGTATCGTTAGGATAGATTTATTAAATATATATAACTCTATAAGAAAAAAAAACTTTTAGAAGAGAACTTTTCTCATATTATTTCACGGTCAACCATCTTTACATCATCATAAAAGTAGGAAATTCAAGTTTTGTGTTGTTTATTTTAAGTAATTTATGTTTTTTGTTGAATGGGAAGCGATAAATAAAGAAATATTTAATTTATGTTGTTAAAATTTTACTCATTGTAAGCAAGACAAAATTTACTTCAAAAGACAATTAATTTTATGTTAAAATAATTTAAGGGAGAGCTTTGAGAGGCCAAATTTACTCAAATTCGGTTTATAAAAAAAAAAAAAACATAAATTATTTGAGATTTTTTTTTTCTTCATAATCCAACAATACTAGAGATACCCCACTTTTAGAAAAGTTTCCTCATTTGATTGAGGACGTTTGACGCTTTAAGTCCATATTCATTAAATCGAGGTTTAGTAGGCAAAAAATTGAGATTTACCAAAAGTTCTGTAAAAAAAAAATGGTGTGATATCATATGACTTATGATATTCTATCCAATCACCTAAAAGTACCCATGTTTTGATTGAAAATGCCTATAATTAACTGCTGTCGAGCTATTATTTCTTGTTTTTTCATGATCTGGGATGTATTATAATAAATATAATTATCTAAATACAATTTTTATTGATGTTAAAAACAAAGATTTTTCTAGTAAAGTGGTTCTGAAACTGCATTTTTCTTCCAGATTTCTGTCATAGCAATCAGTAGGTTTATTTATTTTAAACGTACTATCCTAAATCCTACGTAAAATTCTCATTTCTCCTCAAATTGTTAGAAATAGGGTCCTCTTTCAAGTCATACAATCCCACCGTCCTTCATACATCTTCGAGCTCCTTCAATTCAAATACTCTGTTCGTTCCCGCAATACACGTTCCAGGTCTTCTGATTTATACATAAGGATCCACAGAACCGCTGCTTTCGACAGATCGTTCATTATCCGATCCTCATTCCTATGGAATTCATTTCCTCCCCACACCCGTCAATCCAAAACCCTTCCTATCTTTAAATCCCGCCTGTTCAATCATTTCTTATCCATCCAGTCCCCATAAAATTGTAAATAGTTCCTACCGTAAATATGTATATAAATTATTAGATCGTTCTTCATTATTTTTATTTCATGTTTATTTTAATTTTTTTTTTTTATTATTTACTGATTTAAATTAGCAAGTAACTTATAATTTCTTCTATTACTTTTTTATTTTGAGTACTTAATAATTCTATATTTTTGTTTATGTATCTCTAAGGCTCATTAGCCCACATTTTTGTCTTTCTATATTATTCTGAAGGGACTTGTCCAAGAATAAATAAAGCATTATTATTAAACAGAAATAATAATAATATCATCCATAACGACCTTAATGTGCCAAGTGTTTCAGATTTGGCCCAATCCAGATAACTATTCTCCCATAATAAACTTCAGAAACACCCAACCCACTTGTTTCTAATTTGAATCCTCTTTGATCCCTGATAATCCCCCGAGGCGTCTGAAAAGGAGATGGCCTCGCGATCCTCTAATTTAGACACTTTATTAAAGTCTTACCTACAAGGGTAGTTTTTCTACAAGTCTTTTCATGGCATTGTACTTATCTGCATCACATTTACTATATGCACATTTATTTTTATATAGTTGTAAATTTTATGAGAAAAAACATAACATATTTAAATAAACAAGGTTACTGGTATTTATTTCTTGATTGTCTGAAACCCAACCTCACGTTGCAATTAACCCTGTTATCTTTGGTGTTACGACTGTCTACCCTTAGTCCGTTGAACTAATCTTGTCTTTGAAACCAACTACAAGTTCCCTGGATTATAGATGTTCAGGAACAACATGAGCATGTATGAGTTAGGAATCTATCTCAGATATTTTGACGGTTTTTTTTTTCTTTCTCTGTATTTTTGGAAACATAAGGCTGAGTGGTTTGGAATTTTACCAATTATAACCTAACATTTATTTTCTGTCTATTGAATAGTTTGTTTCTAGTTTGTATCAATCTTGGAAAACTATAACTTGATTCATTTTTAAGTTGCACATACCAGAGTCAACTATTACGCTCAATCTGTAGCCTTCTGTCGTCTGATGAGATTTCCATAAAAAAAGTTAAGCTTTCATTGAAAACTCAACCGTTTCGGGTGGTTATCAATCTGAGTGTCTACATTGTTAAATAAAAGTGCCAATTTCTATTTCTATTACTGCCAGGCATGAAAATTTCCTTGACATTTTTATATACATAAAGTAAGGGATAGAAAATATTTTTCCTTTTACCATAAATCTATTTAGTTACCAGCTACAGCTCAATCCAACTAAGCGGCCATAAATTAATAAAATGTTAATTATTATCGACATACCTGCTTGGAAAGAAGACAGTCGCTACGATTTCTTCTATCTTCACGAGATCAAACTGTAGGATTCACTTCAATTGTTTCTTTTAATAACCTTCCTAGAGAAAAAAAAATCTATGTAAATATCAAGTATTATTCAATGCTATTTCATATTACATTATAGGCTTGGTAAATGACGTCATAAATTGGGGGTAAGATAGATAACATCTCAACTTTATTTTCAGGAATTTATTAGTAATGGAGGCTTTTTAAATCATTTTGAACTTCAGATTGTATGTGTTTGATTTTTTTCTTCTCCGATTAGCTCACTTATCATATTTTTTTTTTTTTTTTTTTTTTTTAGATTCAATTTCAATTTAATATATTATAACATCCGTTACCTAGGACTCCACCTGGACAAACAACTAACATGGAATCCTCATACAAAACTGAAACGACAAGAAAACGCTCGATGTTTCCGACTACCAGACCAGAACTTCTAGACAAACGCTCTAAGCTTTCAATCAATTATAAACGACTCATATATATGACATTAATAAGACCTATTTGGACTTTATTTTATATTATTCTTATTTTCTTATTATTCCATTGATTTACTTTTTTTCTGTAAATATTATATCTCCTATGAGTAAAAACCTATGACCTCCTGTCCTACAGTATCCTTCAAGAATACCCCACTTAACCCTGTTGAACAAATCCGATACATTGGATAAGACCTCCAATAAGCCTATTTGGACTTACGGAATTGAGCTTTGGGGCTCCACTGAGCCATCGAATTTCTCTCATATCCAATCCTTATAATCCAAAATCCTTCGAAAAATCCTCAATTCTCTTTACTTTGTCACCAATAAAATAATAACAATAATAAAATTTCAGAATCCTCTCTTCTCTAACCTTGCTTCCTCTTTTATCCCTGATCACCATATGAGGCGTCTGAAAAGAAGATGGCCTCGAGATCTCCTATTGCAAATACATTTTTTTTTACAGTGCTACCAGTGGGTAGTTTCTCAACAAGTGATTTCATGTTATTATTTTCTGTTCTCAAAGTTATTAAATGTATTTTATTTATTAATAACGTTGTAAATATCATGAACAAAAAAAAAAATAATATAATTCATAGGTAAATAAAGTTAAGTTTATATAGAATACATCCAATCAGGAATCGAACCCACGACTTCTCCCCAACGTGCTTGCCCATCACGTACTCTTATAAAACAGTAGAATTCCAGCCGTTAATTTTGAATAACAGTCAAAAGCTATGGTTTTAAATAACAGATGTTGTATTTATACATAACAAAGTTAATATTTATCTTGGTACAAATTAATATATGATTGCTAAATTTTGATGAGATTTTCTCATTTAGAAAAGGAAATATAAAGTTATTAGAAAGTTTATATCGTAGAACATTAGATTTTAGAATTTAAATTTTTTTTTATCTTTTCCTTCCTCGCTTTTCGGGGTTTTTCCCGGTTCAAATGTAATGGTGGGGAATTAATGCCAGAGTAAAAATCCCTCAGTTAATCTGGTGCGTGTTTTTTGTGAAATGCGTGTTTTGCATACGCGTTAATCTGCTAGGCCATCCCGCCCTTTTAACCATCGTCGCACTGTCGTCACTGCATAAGCAGCACACGACTGCTGCTAGCATCCGATGAAGAATAATATCAATAGAGAAGAATCAAATTATGGTCCAGATTATTATTACAGCTTTACACAATACAATCCACGGATTGGCATTAGAAATGTACCAATAAAAATGTTTGTATAAAGTGAGGTTGCGCTCTGAATTAACGCTTAAACGGATTAACACTCCGAATTTGTTAGTATATTTGACAAAATATCGAATATCGATATCGTCCTTTCGATATTTTAATTAAAAATTAAAACTATCATTTTCGGAAAGCGTTGGGAATTATATTTGAATCTGATCGTTAGAATGAAATTATACTCATCTTGCCCGTTTCGTATAAAATGAAGTGCGTGGTAGAGGAAAATATCGAAATTTCAATAATATTGAATATCGATGCCCATCGCTAAGTGGAGTTGAATAGCGCGTGGGACCCATCTCAGTCAGTAAAATCAACTTGCCCAAATACATAAAATAACTGAAAATCTTACATATTTGTATTTAAAAATAGATAGTAATAAATTTTAATGTTATGATAGTATACGCAGGTAGTGTTGCCCAAAGTCGGCCCTTTGCAAGACCAAGACTAAGGCCGTCTAACTGTTGCAAGACCAGGATTTGTCGAAAAAAAATTTGGTTAAAAAAATCGATTTTTTAATGTAAAAATTAAGACAAAATATTTACTAATACTTGACAATCTTAGTTAATATATGTTAATAATTTGTATAACGAATATAATTTTGCATTTAACTCCTCAAATTTTTCATTCGGGCTTAGGTTTCTCCTATCTGAAAAATTACAATAATATCTATATAGTTATAAGCTAATAAGTAACTGCAAGACCGTTGTGAGTCTCTTGCGCAAGACCACGACTCGTTTCGGTCTCGCATTTGGGCAACACTATACGTATTTATTTGTATTTAACCAATAATTGGTCACAGGAAGCGGGAATTATTCCTGTTTAGCCACATCCATACATTACTCATACTTAAAAGTGAAGTTTTGCTGGGATCGCACATGTTTCCCTCTCTAAGAATCCAGTTAAAAGAGTGTTATACGATCTCTGCGTTAGGATTAAGTTTTAAAAAAAATTATGCATCATACTCATGTTTTTAGAACTATGAATGGAGCGCATTATCCGCTAGTACTGTGTTTTTCATGCGCACTTGAATTACATTGACGCGGGTCGACATATTACCAATCAACTCTGCTGGAAGACTAACAAGATTAAAAGGAATTATACTACCACCAAAACGAATTCTCATTATAAAAGTGACTGAACAGGCGTTTGATAGAGTCTGGCATCCGGGACTGATGTACAGACTCCGTGAATTCCTACCACCTACATACTTCCTCATTATCCGTTCCTACCTTACGGACAGATACTTCAAAGTCAATCATAACAATGCTTATTCATCTCTTTTTACTCAGTCTGCCGGTGTTCCTCAAGGTAGTATCCTAGGTCCTATCCTTTACACAGTTTATACAGCTGACATCCCAACCCAATCCAACACTGTCATCACCACCTATGCCGATGACACGTGTATCCTATCAGTTAATAACGATCCTTTAATTGCATCCCAAACTCTTCAATCACATATCACAAGCCTTGAAGAATGGTGTAAAAATTGGAGAATAAAAATAAATTCCAACAAATCTCATCAAATCACCTTTACCCTCCGTCGTAAACCTATGACCTCTTGTCCTACAGTATCCTTCAATAATACTCCACTTATTCCTGTTGAGCAAATCCGATACTCAGGACTCCACCTTGACAAACGACTCACTTGGAACCCCCATACCTGACTGAAACGACTAGAAACCGCCCGACGTTTTCGACTACTGCAGCACTTACTAGACAAACGATCTAAGCTTTCAATCAATTATAAACGACTCGTATATATGACAATAATAAGACCTATTTGGACTTACGGAATTGAGCTTTGGGGCTCCACTAAACCATCGAATTCCTCTCGTATCCAATCCTTACAATCCAAAATTCTTCGTAAAATCCTCAACGCTCCTTACTTTGTCACAAATAAAATCATCCATAAAGACCTTAATGTTCCATATGTTTCTGATCTGGCCCAATCCAGATACCTTTCCTTCCATAACAAACTGCAGAACCATCCGAATCCTCTCGTTTCAAACCTTGCTTCCTCCTAGATCCCTGATAACCCTCCGAGGCGTCTGAAAAGAAGATGGCCTCGGGATCTTCTAATATAGAACTTAAATTTGAGTTCTACCAACGGGTAGTTTCTCTTCATGTTGTACATGCCATGTTACAAATTTCTCATTTACTTATTGTATTCTCTATGTAATACAGTTGTAAATTCCATTAAAATAATAAAATAAAAAAAAAATAAAAAAAAAGAAGTGACTGAACTGTCAATATCATGAATGGAATCGGTGTGGTCAGAATGAGCTTCACTGTTATGAAGTAAACCCATTTGCGGACAGAGCATTACAACTAGGGTTATATTTCGATTAGTTTGCTTCGAAACATTAAAATATCCGTTGTATCTAACATTCTGTTGACGTACCTCATGCCAGATTCCTTATACACAGGAAGATTCACTTTTTTACACAAGCGGATGCAAGTTTAAGGTTAAAACTTATGGGGAGTGAATTAAGCTTACGTAACTGAGTAGGCTAGGTAAAACGGACTGACGGCTATGGACATTAGCACTAAGCATAATCAGGTTGAGGGAAAGTCCCCCACCTTTCTGAAATGTTTCCTTCGCGTCATTAAACCTGCAATCTGGCCTAGATATTGCTGATATGATTCTGCTAATACCTCCTTGATACGTAGCGTTTTAGATTCTTTCTCTCGACGCTTATAAGCCTTGAACTAAATCGTTCACAGATTTTTCTAACAGCTTAAAATAGTCTGTGGGCCAGACCCCCTTACCGTGCACCCTCCCTCCCCCCACATCCCTATAAATTGCATATCGTTGTGTTCCTTGTGACAATTTATTAAAAAAAAAGACAATGTTCCCACAAAAAAAAGTGAACGAACTGCCCCAAAATGGCGTCCAAACATGGCGGATTGACGACTTTGACTTTAGTTAGTTTTTTTGGTCACTGAGAATCAGCATTTGGCTTAATTTCATGATAGTTGGTCTTTTATTAAAGATGGATAGTCATAAAATAATAAAACATGAAAAAATATTAAAAACTAATTGGCTTAGGCATTAAATAAAATCGGTAAAGTCAATTTTTTTTACAAAAAAATTTTCAAGTTGAAAATCAAGCGTCGTTTGTAATTAAACGGTCAACAATAATGCAAAACGTGCTGAAGTAAAACATCTAGAGAATACATTTCTCTTTCTAAAACACTGATTACTTTTTAAAATATTTGAAGCAGTTCCGTAGAAAATGTACATAAGCGGCAGAAAAGCGCTACTGGCGTAGG